AAAAAAAAAAAAAAGTAGCTGCCACAGAAAGTCTTTTTGATAAGCACGTGGAATTATAATAGTGAAGAGTTCTTTTTTGTCCCCATGTGCAATCTGGAGGAGGCAGACTAGGAAAGTACTTAAGAGCTCTGGTTCTGGAGGTTAGATGGACCTTGGGCAAAGTCCCAGCTCTTCCACTTCCGTAGCTTTGTGAACTTGAGCAAGTTCTTTAACTTCCTTGGGTCTCCATAACCTCATCTCTGAAGGAGGTATAATAGAAGCTACTTCAAAGGAATGTGAGCATTAGCTGAGATAATGTATACAACACATTTGATAAATGTTTGCTGCTATCATTGTTAGTATAAATGAGGAAACTGATGCTAAGTAGTGAAAACTTTTAACATTGCACAGCTAATAAGCAGAGGATCATGTAAACTAGAATACGTTAAATGAGACAGATGTTACCTGGTACATGCTGAAAGAAATACATGTTGCAAATACAGTCTTCTAAATTTGTCATTTGTTTTTAAGGTTACATTAAGGAAGATCTTGATCCTTGTCCTCGTCCCAAAAGACGGCAGCCTTACAATGCAATGTTTTCTCCAAAAAGCAAAGAGCAGAAGACATAGATGTTAAAGCAAAAACAGGATAGAAGACAGTTTGTTTCATTCTTATTTATAGTTAAAGTTGGTATTAAACATTGATTTTTTTTGATCTTCTGTAAACTGACTTATAAATCATTTTTCTATTGAAAGTGTTTTTAAATGGCATTTACCCACCACACAAACAACTATTTAAAATGTGGATATGCTTATGTTGTATTGTCTTGCTTATGCACCTTTAAAACAATAAGGTGCTTTCATTTTGCACTCTAACTTAAGAGCTATTTACTTTATTCGGTAATACCTAATTACAATTTTGAAAATATGATAGTTGCGGTCTGTGATTTGTTGCCTTTCCTATCTTTTCTTTTTACTCGACCTTCCCTTGGTATTTACATTCAGCAGTGGCTTTGTGTTAATCACTACAAATTTTCATTCTCTTAATCAGTTGCTCTTCTATGGGTCATTCCAGTGTCTGACATTTAAGTCTTTAAAAAAAAAAAAAAGGCTAAATTTTAATAGTCCTTTTAACTTTCCAGCTTCTTTCTTTTGTTTACTTGAAATGAGCTACTGTTCTGTAGTGCATTCCTTTGGAGCCTCAACAACAAATATCAACCTTTCTTCCTTTTTCATACATTATAAATTAACATAGTTCTCTGATCTGATCATAATATTCCAAGTCTTCACATGGTCTCTTTTCATTATACTTTTCTGGTGCAGTTTTCCAGCTGAATTGGTCCAGTTCTTCTCTGCCCATGTGTTCAAGTTCAGTAATATCATTTCTCTGGAATGACTGATATTTTAACTTCCAGTCTGGCAACAAAACAGATTTCTCTATTCAGCAAATTTCTGTTCCTCTAGGACCTAGTGTCTGAGTCATCAAGATGACAGACCACATCTGTGTCACCATTTCCGGTGGCATTTTGTTTATCAGTGTCTTTTTTGAGTATTTCTTTAATCCATATCTTGACAGTATTGCTTAAGCAGGAGAACATCAGACACTGAATAGAATGCCTCACTAAAATCTCACCATTTACATAAAGCCCTTCTCAGAGTTCCTAAGAATCTCTGCTTAGTCTCATCTTCATTGATCAAGGTTCTCATATGAATAAATGACATCAATTTGTGTTCTCACAGAGAGGATCACAAAAAAATTAACATATACTAAGTATCTACTGTACGTCAGACCCCTTATGAGCATGCATGGCTTGGCTCTGAATGTGATCTGAATTTTTTACAACCCTATCATAGCTTCTATTCAGCACTTTTCTTCACTTCCCAAATTGTTTATCCTATGTTTGATTTTTGTTCCCTGTTGGCAGTCAACCAATTTCTCCAAAATAATAGCAACCATTCAGTGGTAACTTGCTATATGCCAGGAACTGTATTATACTCTTTACATAGATTTTTCTCTTTTAATCCTTGAATAATCTTGTGAATTCATGTTTCAGCTTAACATTAAGCTGCAAAAAATGGACCCAAAAAACAGATTAAACAACAAATGACTGGTTTTATTTTTCTCACATTAAAAAGTCTGGAGGTCAGCAGTTCAAGGCTAGTAATGCAGCCCCATGATGCCCTCATAGACCCAGATTCTTCCAACGTTCTGCTCTTCCATACTTTGTATGTGGCCTTCATCCTTGTCACTGTAAAGCAGTTATGCCACCTGTCATCATGTCCATGTTCTAGACAGAAGGAAAGAAAAAGAAAAAAGCATATGTCATTTGTTTTTGTCCCTCTTTAAAAAGTTTTCCACTTTGGGGAGCCTGGGTAGCTCAGTCATTAAGCGTCTGCCTTCGGCTCAGGTCGTGATCCTAGGGTCCTGGGATCAAGCCTCGCATCAGGCTCCCTGCTCAGCGGGGAAGTCTGCTTCTCCCTCTCCTACTCCCCCTGCTTGTGTTCCCTCTCTTGCTGTCTCTCTCTCTCTCTCTCTGTCAAATAAGTAAATAAATAAATCTTTTTTTAAAAATTAAAAATAATAATAAAAAGTTTTCCACTTTAAATAAATAAATAAACTTGGGGGCGGGGGCCTTGGCCAAGCCTGGCTGGCTCAGTTGGAAAAGCATGCAACTCTTGATCTCAGGGTAGTGAGTTTGAGCCCCACGTTGGGTGTAGAGATTTATCACTTAAATAAACTTGAAAAGTTTTCCAGAAAGGGACACCTGGGTGGCTCAGTTAAGCATCTGCCTTTGCCTCAGGTCATGATCCCAGGGTTCTGGGACTGAGTCCTGCATTGGGCTCCTTGCTCAGCGGGGAGCCTGCTTCTCCCTCTGCCTGCCACTCCCCCTGCTTGTGCTCTCTCTCTCTGTCAAATAAATAAAATCTTTTTTAAAAAAAGTTTTCCAGAAGGCTCCACCCAATAACTTTCCCTGTTTCTCAATGGCCAGAATTGTCACTTGGCTGCCTCTAATAACTAAGAGATGAAATTAGAGCCCAGGATTGCCTAATTCCAGAACCAGAGCTTGTATCCACTATAGTATAGTGGCCAGGAGTCTGAGAGACACCTGGATTGGAACAGGGCACCACAGGATGTGCAGTTAGAGCTCTATACCTCCAATGGATTTTCCTTTTTAAAAGGAAACCTAAGGGGTGCTTCCGTGGCCCAGTCAGTTGAGTGACCGACTCTTGGTTTCTGCTCAGGTCATGATCTCAGGGTCCTGGGTTCGAGTCCTGGGTGAGGCTCCACGCTCAGCATGGAGTCTGCTTGAAAGATTCTCTCTCTCCCTCTGCCCCTCCCCACTGCATTTGCTCACACTTTCTCCCTCTCTCTTTCAAATAAATAAATCTTGAAAAAATAATAAATATGAAAGAATAACAGGCAGCCTAAACAGACAGGAAGCAAGAGATTGCCTGCCTCGTAGCTTGACAATAATCTAACCAGTTGTAACTAGCATTTTTCATTTTCTCTTCAGTCAGCCTGTGAGGTTGGGTAAACTGAGGTCCCTCTTCCCTTTTTTTTTTCCCTCTCCCCTCTTATCTGTTATTGATCAGCTCTACATTAATATTTTTTAAAATTTTTTATTTATTTGTACTGAAAAACTGCAAAGATTCTTCCTCAGATTGTCTTCAATTCTTCAGTTACAAAAAAGGAATAGTTTAACATAAACCAAATAGCACTAATACATTTATTTAACAAACATTTATCTTTACGAGGCACAATACTAAGTGCAGTACCAGAATCAGGCAAATTTTACGAATTTCCTCCAAAGAAGCAAGCTTTTAAAGAAACCTACACCTAAAAATCTTATTCTGTTAATCCTAACATATTAACATAACAGCATGGGATTTAATTTTTAAAAATACCACTTCAGAAATGAGCATTTGAGGGCGCCTGGGTGGCTCAGTCGTTAAGCGTCTGCCTTCGACTCAGGTCATGATCCCAGGGTCCTGGGATCGAGTCCCGCATCGGGCTCCCTGCTC